AATGCGAGGTCTTTTGACAGCTCGCTTCTTCTTCCCCTTCATCCTTCCAAGGAGCTCGTTCGTAGGAAGCTTCATGGTTGCTGTAACAAAAGCAAAACGTCAGAAACAACATCAAAATAAAACAAAGGCAGCACAAAAGCAACGACCTACCAGGACTCAGACCGACCTGCACAAGCTTGTCTTTGGTCACATAGTCCACGAACTTGAGACCGAGCTCCGCCCAGGACTGGAGCGCTTCCCTTGTCTTCAAGTCCAGGCTGACACCGAGATCTTGGATGGCCGCCCTCCAATGGGTCGGGAAAGGCCACCCCTCAGTGTTACGGACTAAAAAGTAGCCCCATTTCCAAGCCGGGACCCTATTTGGGAGTTTGTGTAAGAGCTTGTAGCCCGGACGTGGGGATAAGTAGTAAGTCCGCCTGTGCTTAGGTAGAACACAGGAGGAATTCTTCTTTATTGAAAGGATTAAAGAAAAAATATCAAGGTCAAGGGGCAGGTCATAGTCGTGGAAGAGCAAGATGGTTCCTACTATGTTGCGGATGGAGTTCAGGTGCAACTGATTTATGGTGATGTTAAAGAGTTTAATGACTTCGACGATTAGGGGGTGAAATGGAAGACGAAGACCAGCTACGAGCTGTTCCTCGAAGATCACGATCTTGTCGTGACCGTGCTCCCAGGGAAAGTTACCTATCAGAAGACTGTAGACAAGGTCACTTGGAAGCCTATACCGAGCTAAAGGCTTGGAGCCTGTCCGCTGTCATCGTCGATGGGCCAAAGTTACCTGGTTGCCGATCTCGATGCAAGGTGGATGCCAGACCACCGGAGGCCTTAGGAGGACCGAGTTGATTCCACCTTAGGAGGACCGCAGACCACTTCTTGACCTGTAGTAGCTTCTTCGGTAAGGCGATCTAAAAGACTATCTAAACTAAATCTAGACATTGCGAAGAAAAGACAATCAGAAAAGGAGAGCTAGGGAAGACTCACCAAAGAAAGACCGAACTAAAAGAAGACACCGGACTGGAGAAACCGAGCTAAGAAGCTTGAACGCGACCTCAGAACAAAGATTTGCGAATTTGTGGCAAAGCAAATGAGTCTCGGGCCCCTATTTATAGCCGGTATGTCCGAAAATCAATGGTCGAGGTCGAGGCAATCCAACGGCTCCTAGAAAAACCAGCTGCGTGACCCCCGAGGTTGACTCTCGCGCTTCCCGAGTTGATTCCACCTTAGGAGGACCGCAAACCGCTTCTTGACCTGAAGTAGCTTCTTCGGTAAGGCGATCTAAAAGACTATCTAAACTAAATCTAGACATTGCGAAGAAAAGACAATCAGAAAAGGAGAGCTAGGGAAGACTCACCAAAGAAAGACCGAACTAAAAGAAGACACCGGACTGGAGAAACCGAGCTAAGAAGCTTGAACGCGACCTCAAAACAAAGATTTGCGAATTTGTGGCAAAGCAAATGAGTCTCAGGCCCCCTATTTATAGCCGGTATGTCCGAAAATCAACGGTCGAGGTCGAGGCAATCCAACGGCTCCTAGAAAAACCGGCTGCGTGACCCCCGAGGTTGAAATCGGTTTAGCGTGTTTTTTGACATCCGCGGAGTTATAGATCGCGTAACGTCCACGCGTAAACCAGACACGACCTGGGTTATTCCTAGTTGAGCCGGATAGCCGAACAGGTCCGACCAGCGATTCGTCCGACAAGCCGCTCAAACCTCAAGCTAAATCCACTCGTCTTGTCATGAACTCCCCGCACCGGATCGGGACCCCTGGCTCGGGGAGTGGGGGGCAATTGATGAAGGGTGATTTGGACCGACCTAGTAAAGAAGGGACACGTGGGCACGACCTGACCAAGAGATGACAACTCATCTTATCATGACCAGTCCGCAGCAGATCGAGCTCGGTTACCCAACCACCTCGGGCTAAAGTGACCTCGAGACAAGGCCACCTCGGGATGAGATCGCCTTGGTACCAAATCGCAACAAGAACACCTCGATGCCAAGGCACTTCGGCACTCAACCCAGTTCGGGACTTAAAGACATCAACTCGGGGATACCAACATGCCACTACGTGGTGATCCCGAAAACCCCTCCAACGGATCCCAGGCCTCACAGGATCACACCGCGTAACGGCTAGCATTATCTCCCTGACCGATTCGGGCAGAAGTGATGAACCTTATCGGTTGGCAGCATTATCTTCCAACTAACGCGGAAATGGGTCCTATCATGACGAAGATCCCAGAACTAATCTGCAAAATCCGCGAGGACTTGACTATATAAAGGCTCCACCCCGGAGGTTCAAGGTATGCGTGATTTCCATGCTCTCTAGCTCTCTGCATTCTTAAGCTATTTCAGCTCGCAACAAGTATACTGACTTAAGCATTGAAGCGACCTCGCCGGGCTAGCAACCCCGGGTTCTCTGATCCTACTTTTGCAGACCAACTTAGTTCGCCGTCCGCCTGGAAGCCAGATCACCTCCAGTAGGGAGCAGATAGATCGCGCAACATCAGTTACAACTCCGGAATGTATTTCACCATCAGTGGCTTTCACCAGCAATTACAATTCCGATGGTTACAATTCTAGATGATTACAGTTCCGACGGTTGCAGCTCTGGCGTGTACAGTTCTGGAGGTTATAGTTCCAGGTGGCTCTAGTTTCTTGGTGCAAGCTTCTATCTCTATCCCTCACTTTCGGTGGTTGGAGATGTATTCAATTGTTTCTTCTGTTGGTGATTCTGCTTCACCTTATGTTGGTTGCAGAAGTTCTTTTTTGTTTTCCTTTATGCACAGTCTATATTTTATTCTTTCTAAGGATTTATATATGCTCTTTTTGCTTGATACTATGATTACTTCCCTGTATTCATACAAGTTTCTTAATTTAAATGAAATTTGATTCTTGCCTTGAAAAAATCAGATTATTGGCATAAGTCATCCAAAATTCCAATTCAATGGGTGCTATAATTCGTTCTTATTTAAGCACGTATTTAACAATGAACTAACGTTGACCAACAGTTATTTGAGCCTCCATGACCACGTTGCTCTTACCGTTAGGATGATGAAGCCCAAGATTTAAAATGATAAATAAATACTCATTATTGGACAGTTATAATCCCTCTTTTTAGTTGGGTGGGAATGCAACCCATTATTTATGGTTCAAACCGGCCCCTAATTAAGAGAAATCTCGATGGAGTCACTAGGAAACAGGTCTCTCTCGTGGCAGAGATGAGTAAGAGACAACCCATTATTTATTTGGTGTCTTTTTTTTATCGGTTTCATCGTTAAGGTCGATTTGAAATCGATTTCATAGGTAGAACCTATCCAATAACTGATTGGGTAGATTCTTCACAGTTTCGTAATCCAACCGTAGGCTCATTTTGAAATCAAATCTGTATCGCTAGTTTTTGGCAATTCCTCGAACCAAATTAATACCACCGGTTAATCGAGTGACTGCTTTCGGTTTTTGATCAGTTTAAATTCTGGGAATTTTGGACTGTATTCAGCTTCAGAAATTTTTTTTACAGCCCTCCTAGTCTACTAGTAACTCTCCCAATAAATCACATCCTGTCCGTGAATTTGACATTAATCCACGGGCAGGATTCAGTCCACCCCTAGGTAGAGTTAGAATTTCCTAAGGGTGGACTGAATCATAAAAACCCTTTAATTCTTTGATTAACCATAAGTTTTTTTTTTTCAGGTTAACCAAAAATCAAATTATCCTTCCGTTTTTCAAAAACACTAAACTGAAATCAAACCGATGTTTGGATCCGAGTCTGGATCTGTTCCTCACACAAGGCATCTCATACTGATCTTACACGCACCTTATACTGGATCTGCTCCTCGTTCCGTTGGGATCCTGCCTGGATCTCTTACGCTTCTCAGTTCTCTCACTTTTTATTCAATCCATGACAAGTCATGCATCTCAATTCTCAGTTTCTGAAGTCGGACTAATTCACATATATATATATATAATATCTAGAAGTTTCGGAATGGTAAGAAGTGATGGGTGGGATGGTACAGAAGAAATGAATGAGGTGAGGTGAGGTGATGTGATGTATTTCTACCGGGCGGAGGATAAATATATAATGTGGACTTGTGCACTGCATGTCATATCCTCATCCACGTAAACTGAATAATGCCTTCTATCTCCTACTTTCTCATGCTATTTTAAATTTTTAATGACGACATTGTATGAATCGGAAAGGATACGATCCGGATTCCGGACTCCGGACTCCGGAGGAATGCCGTGTTTTAATCGTGTTAGCACTCTTTTGCTGACAGCACGTATCCGGGTTTAAAGCGTGTTAGCTGCTGCCTGCTGGATTGTGTATTTGTGTTTGTGTTCATTAAAAGAGCTCAGCCGCCCCATCAGGCCATCACCCATGTTTCAGTTTCACCGTAACACCGTTGGTTCATGAAATGGAGCGGACCGTGTTCTGATGCTTCTCCACACCCGTATGAAGCGGGTTCGGATTCCAATGCAAAGTTAGACTGACATATGTGAGTGCCAGTGGCACATACATGGAGCATTGGAGCTGGACTACCAACCATTCAATCAATGTGATACCACAACTTATACATTCAATTGGGCCCACTTAGGTCTACATGGGCCCATGTCTCCACGACATTGATGGTGAAAATTAGAGACTCTGAATGGGCCAAGAACATACTATTAGTCTATTACCATACCAGCATGACATAAGTAATCCTCTAATCCATAAAACTGACACAAAATCAGGATGCAAATTGGGTCACGGTTTTACAAGTTAACCGGGTTGCTAGCCCATTGAAACCATGAAAATATTATATTTAAGGATCAAGAAAGGTCACTGGTTCACCGGTTAAACCGTCTGGTCTGGTCCAAGTCATACAATACTGCGGTCTAAGCCTACGTAGAGAATTGGGCCCGGTCCACTTCCCACCAAGTCCATACCCGTGAAAAACAAAGTGAAAACGGTCCGAAGTCCAAGCCGAAATACTTAGCTTGTTATATGGTCTTTTCCAGGAAGAAGAGCAAAAAGGAAAGCACAGAGAAGAACTCAAGAAACAGAGCACAATTTGCATTTGCAACTATATAGATGAAGAATTGATGATCCCATTACTCTTCAACCTCGCCTTTCCATTGCTGCACCCAACATCTTGTCTCATCTTATGGTTTCAAACTCCGCGTCCGCGTTCTGTTCTGGGCCCCCACACCTCTTTTCTCCTTGAGCCTTTTAAATTCACTAATTTTCTTCTGAAACATCAAAGTTCTCTCTGTTTTTAAGCTCACTAGTTGTCTTCTGAAACATCAAAGGTTTCTGTTCGTTTTGCCCGATATGATTCAGCTTTTGTTTACGCTTATATTCGCCGAGATGGCTCTAATTCTGCTCTTCCTGTTTAAAACCCCTCTGAGAAAGCTTATTATCATGGGGTTGGATCGGGTTAAGCGAGGACGGGGCCCTGTCATGGTGAAGACCGTCTGCGGGACCATCTTAGTTGTCTTGTTATCGAGTGTATACAGTATGACGAAGATCCAGAATCGTTCCATGGATTCCGCCGGTATCGTCAATCCGACGGATCAGGTACTTATGGCGAAGCACCTTCTCGAAGCGTCTCTTATGGGTAATGTTCTTCACAACCTCATTGGCTTAATTTCAGTTTGATCGGATTCGCATTCGAAGTGCGTATTTGTTGTTGGTTGGCTGAAATGAGTTCCAATTGATCCTTCGTGAGTTGTTTGTTTATGGTTTCAGTAATAATTCAATGGACTGCTTTTCTATTTATCGGGTTGGATATAATTTCCATCTTTCCATAATTCTGTTGAAACAATTTTGTTTTTCCCCATTTATGTGACTGAAACTGGCTCTGCATTTGTGGATCCGTTTGAATACTCATGTATCCACTCAAGAGGATTGAAAGTTTACCCCTTTTGTATGTTGAATTATGGGTATGGATAATATCTGTAGAAGACTATTTCTCTAGACTTAGTACGCCTTTGAACAATGAAGCCATAACCCAATATTGGTCCAAGCGATCTGGGGTCTAGGGAGGGATAGACTGGGTACGGTCCTAATTTTTCGTACTCTTGAACAATGAAGCTTTGTATAAAATTTACTTGACACTTTGTTCATATCCAATCCAGGGTATTCTTTCATTTTTCCATCAAAGAAGGATGAAGATAACGTTTTTTATTCAGAATGACCAGGCAGTGGCTATGTTGTATTGGCAGTAGAGTTGTAATTGGACTGTGACAAAATGATGCACAATTTGAAGGAATATGCAACGGTTTTAGTATTCAATGTGTTCTTGAGTTTAGTAATATACTGATAATTTAGTTAAGATGACAAAAAGTTAATTTACATTAAGCAACTGCTTTCTCAAAGGGATTAACAAATAACAATAGATAATAAAAATGATGATATAAAGTGTAACTTAAATTACAAAATAGATAACTTTGAGAGGTAACCATTTTAACAATCCTTAAGATGCATATATACAAAATATATCTGTTGAAACTTCGAAAGAAAAAAAAATCCCATACTACTGAAAGGGAACTCTCTTCCTTTTAAAGGGATAACGTTCTCCACCAGTTTAGGGAAGGGTTTCTTGGAAAGTGAACGAGTATAAAAGAAGTGGCTGGTACCCAGTGGATTGTTGAGTAGCAGTAGCAAAGGCAAAAGTCCATATATTATTAAAATATTGAAAGTGAAACCACAACTGCTCCAGAAATTTACATATAACTATGATATATTTGATTTGAGTCCTAGTGAAGTGGAAGGATTATTCTAGCAGGCTGTGACAGTATTCCCATGATCATAGTAGGCCATTGTGTTATTCACTTGTAGCTTGTTCTATCTTTGTGTACATTTTCCCTTTTTTCCCCTCCTGTCTTGTTTACATAATACTGGAGCTACCTATCTGATCTATTCTGTTCCATAAGTTGGCATTGGCTCAATAAATTTATTTATTTTGGTCAATGTAACTTCTTATACCTGGACAATACATTTTGTGCTATGTTTTGATATCTCTTTATAGCACTTTATTTGTTCTTACTGAACTGTTCCTTGAGATGCTGGATTTTCTAAACATTCCTTATCAGCTCCTCTGCAACATGCCAAGATATCAAGGTCTCCTGAAAATATTTGGAAGATCTATTGCAGCTACATAGTTATTCCAATTCTGCTACTAGTTGCTAAATTTTTTCTTACATACTCAACTCAACTAAGCCCTGTCCCAACTATTAGCTATCAAGCTACTTTTCAAAGTCAACTACATGCAGCAATAACATTTTGGTTGGTGCTTCTGCTTTCAGAGTGTGATGTTTTTTGACCTTTCTTCGATCAAAATATATAGGTTCTTGACATTCACAGTGCTTTGAAATCCAGTTATTTATTTATTTTTTCAAATAAGTGATATTATGCCCTTGACCTTCGTCAATGCTGAAGCAACCTACAGTAGTTATCTACATCTTTCAGCTCTCCATCATGGGATCATGTAGTAAAGGGCCATTATCCAAAATTGGTCCTGGCTATCTATGGGACTTGGGAAGGGTGTATGATATGGACATAACCTTAAGCATTTCTTGCATGAAGTGGCTGCACTCTGGCTTAACACCATGTTCTTAAACTCATTAGGCTGAGATTTTACCATTGCAGCAAGCAATGGTCCCTACAATTTGACCATACAACATGGGTGGTAAATGAGCCCTTTGTGATATGAAATTGCATTACTAAATGACTGATGGATTTATAAACTGCTCATCCCAAGTGTAATAGTCTCATAGGGATAAGACATATCACAGATCATTGCTTGAAAGAGGGGCATGTAGCATTGCGGTTGTATGGTATTCTATTTATGCCTTGAAAGCATGCTTTAGTTTTCTTTTAGTTGAATAAAAGAAGTGAAAACAAGTAAACAACCCCATGGTGGAGTATTACAAGCTGTGCAGATCTGCAAAAAGTGTCCAAGGACAAGGAATTTTAACATGAACATTTTCTCAACTAAAAGAGTAAGGAAACAGGAGGCACATAGACATTCTTCCAGTAATCAATCTAAATCGATGATTTTGGTTTGTCCAAAGCCAGGCATCTTTTGTATCACTCTTAATTTATATTTGTACTTAATTATTAACAAGTTGAATATTCCATAAATCCTGAAACTGTAGACTTCTGAATTATCTTGGGTTATAATTCCCTGAAAACCGTTCTACTGGGGTAACCTAGCTTGAGAATTATCAGTTTTACATATCTAGCTCTTGGGGATCCATTGCAATGGTTATGGAGTGTTGTAGTCATAATGTTGCCTCAGCAGGTGTTGCATACATGACTGTTGGCGGGGATGATTTGGTGATGCTTGGTTATGAGGTTTCATGTCGTCACATCACCACAATACATGTTCATTCATGCTTTTCCTTCAATTTTTATCAAATCAGGTTCTCACACTTGACAGCTAAATTATATATTACGTTTTGTAGTGAACTAGACAAATCAGGATCAATGACCATGAGAGTTTGGCAAAAGTACTCAAACCCGGGTCTCTTGAGCAAGAGCTGAGTATCATAACCAACTAGACTACAATGGAAGACCATCTACAACCTACTACAAAAAGTGATCTATTACAAGTTGAAGGGGTTAGAAGAGCTAGGGGCAGGCCAAGAGGAACTGTGGAAGTAACAAGAAATGATTTAAGCACCCATAATTTAACAATGGATATGGCACCGGACAGAATGGAATTAGTGAAACAGGATTCATGAATCTGACCGACCCCATGCAGATAGGACAAGGCTTAGATGATGATGATGTTAATTGTATTGAAATGTTCTTTGTTCTGCATGCAAGTAAAAGATGTGAAGAGGATCAAGTTTAGGCTAAAAAGGAAAGGAAAAAAAAAAAGAAAGGTGAAGGATAACGAGTGCTTGGGTTATTGAAGTATTCTAGCCTCTTTTTTGTTATAGCAATGAAAGTATACTTTACCTTTACTCCAAAAAAAAAAAAAAGAAAAAAAGAATAATGGAAAGAAACCGGGGGGGGGGGGGTCTGAAACACCTAGGCATCACCTAGTTGCCATGACTATACTGGGTTATCCATCTAATTGAGTTGTAACCTAGGACTAGGAGGGTTTTGTGGTACTGGTCTGATGAGGAAAATGAGAACAGATATTTTAAAGTATATTATTTCCACCTTGCATGTGCCTCAGAGGGTCTGAAAAGTTTGTTTCCTTAAGAGATTTGTTGTTTAGAATTTTGGTGCTTCTCTGGTATGATACATCATTTTAGTTTGTTTTGGGGATATATGCTTTAAGGAATTCACCAAGTGGAGCAGCAGAAAGTTAAGATTCAAACAGATGATGGCCAATGTAGCATTACAGGCTGAAAGGAAGTAAAACTACACGATCCCCACTTATTTGAAGATTTCCCTGTCTACTCTTTGCCTTAGTGATGGAATGAGAACTTAATGAGCAGGATAAAGAATGAGCTGGGCTACCCGGCCCATGAACAGGTCTATTGACAATAAAATGTTTATTTGGTATTGGAATTTGGAGCTTAATATGAGAGGAATTTCTTTAAATTTCATGTCTATTTCAATATTTCAGTCCATTGTCCTGAAGACTGATGCTTAGTCTGAATCTGAATTTGAATCCAAATTTGGGGTTAACTGCTTGCAGGATTTTCTCTTTTCCTTGCACTGATGATAGACAGACTACATCATTATATCAGGGAGCTGCGTTTGCTAAGGAAGAGCATGGAGGCTGTAAAGAAACAGAACCGAGGGTTTGAAGATGGGAAAAATGGGGGTCCAGAGGACACCAAAGCTTTAGAGGAAGAAAGGGCTAGCTTGAGGGCAAAGGTTAAAGAGCTAGAATCCAAATTTGAGGCCAAGACAAAAGAGACAAAGGCAGCAGAAGCTAATGCAGAAGCACTGAAGAAGCAGTCAGAAGGGTTCCTTCTCGAGTATGATCGCTTGCTAGAAGACAATCAGAGCCTTCGGAACCAGTTGCAGTCAATTGACCGGAAGGTGTCACATTCTGACAGCAAGAAGTCTACATAGGAGGCCCAAAACCTGGTAGTAAGCAATACTCTTATGGTTTCCAGTTGGCACCTATGGTATAGGGTAATGATGTATCCATGATGTCAAACAGTAAGGGGTTGAAGGGAAACGGATGATTTATATATTATTAGTTTATTACATGGAGCAGCATGATTTAGTTGTTGAATTTTGTTTTTGTGTATTTCGATGGATAAGTAGGTTATAGAAACAGAAAGATATTGATTGCTGATATAATAAGAGAAAGATGAGCTGCCCCTAGATGAACTTCCTTTTGTGACCAAAGAAGTTCTCCAAAACCATGAACCCAATTTCCAAATGCTCCCCTACAGAGCTTGTATCAGTTTTCAGGGTCATGGAAATGCTAAATATTAGGATTTGGGATGGACATGTTCAATGGTTAATGCACTCCCCATTGATGGACTGGTTCAAAGCTTGAAACCTGAAACAATTTTAATATATGAGCATCACCCCTTTGAATTGTGCAATATGCAAGTTTTGTGTATCACACGTGTTTACTTTGAATCATGTCTTCCCCCAACCCCATCCACACCTAGGGGTGAGAAAATGGGTAGGTTCTATCCGGAACCGAATGGAACTAACCTTGAACCAGCCTTGAACTGACCGGTCTGACCCTACACAATTTGTTACAGGGTAGGGTCTGGTTTCAAAGTATAGGTTTTTAAAGAACAAGTTTTTTTTTTTTTTTTTTGTGAAGGGAGAGAGTAAAGAAAGTACAGGTTTCATGAGTAAACCCTGAAACCGACCTTGAAACCACCAAGGCCAAAACCGATCTTTACAGGGTAGGTTCTAATTCCAAAAACTTGGGATACTTTATGATGTAGATTGTCTCTACACTTTGAAAGGATGGTAGATAATGGCATCATGTCGCTGAAGTTGGCCTGGTAAGGAAAAAGCACGTAGCTAGACAATGCATCCAAACACAGTGGAAACGAAGTAGCTTATTTTATCTGGGATGAATTCAAAGTTCAAGCACAACAAAAGCATAGAACAAATATACCAACCAGCAAAAAGAGAGAGGGAATATTATGAAACATGCAAAAACCAACAAGAATGAGGGATATGTAAATGAGAGCAATGCATGACAGATTGACAGAATGAAACATGCAAACAAAAACTTATAAACACTGAGGTGATAAGGTCTGAAAGATGGGTTGAAAATAATCATATTATTCAATGTCAATACATATGAGAATTGGACTAAAAAACATTAAAAGATATACATCATTAACTTAAGTTAATACAATCGAGCTTAAGTTTGCTTTGGTGTTCTGCATGGCTAATTCGAAGGCGAGTCTTATCGGATGCACGCAATAAGTAAAAACGTATCTGGTGATGATCTTTTTGGGCCGGGGAAGAAAACACAAAGCAAGAAACAAAACATAAATCGTATTTTATAGAGATTTTCAATATTCAAGGTCGAGGAGATAGAGATGTCAACGGTTCGGAAAAAATAATCTCTTTTGCTTTGATATTATTTAGATTAATAATTTATTAGATGATCATTGATCAAAGGGCATTGCATGTTGATTCAATGGATCAATTGATTATTATAAACTACAAATATGATCCGAATATTATAAAATTAATTATAGACGGCCACCCTATACTTTGAGCTTGGCCTCAACGAAAACCTATTTTGAACTTAGATTCCAGCATTTTGCATTTAGTGTTAGTATTAACATTTTCATGTCACTGTCATGTTTTAATATCGATTGGTTTGCGACTCGATAGAACTGGTTTCGAATTAATAATAATTGAAAAAATAGATCTGGGATCAAAAGGAATGGATCCATCAGATCTATCAGGTTTAATCCGACCTATTGACAGTCCTAGTTCAAGCGTGTTTAAACATTTTTAAAACCTTAAATTGCCCTTATATCAGGTTGAGTCTATTTTATAAAAAAGAAATTGTTAAAATACAAACTCGTTAATGGGGTGAAGTTAAAATCCCAAATTACCCTTATATCATGCTTATTTATCAGTTATCACAAATGAAAATTTGGAGGCTAAGTGTCACTACCCCCAAAATATGAGTAGCAATCTGTAATTTACACTAAAAGGCTAAAATAACCGATAATCGTAAGGCAAAGTCTATGATGCATCGGTTGCAATGTGCAATAAAAGTCGTGAATCAGTGATAAATGTAATGTCATAGCTAACAACTTTAGCATTGTCAAAGTCTAGATGGTAAGTAAACCTGTTCACAGGCCGGGTTCAGGTTGGATTTCTCTCTATATTAATAGAATACATTCATGCCCGAGGCCGAGTCTATCTTGCCCATTGGGCCTAGGTGTTGAGTCCGAGTTTGACCAGAAATTTAGGGAAAAGATTTTTTTATTCATAAAAAAATTGTTTATTAAGAGACCCTTAAACCCAACAAATAATGAAAGATCTCACTATGACTTGAAAAAAGAGAAGACATACAAAGAAAAAAACATCTTGTATATATATTTTTATTATATGAAATATATTTTTTGTAATAAAATATATTATCAAATTGAGCTCGGATTCAAGCCGGACTTTTTTGAGAAAGCCCGACCCCAACTTGATAAAAAGTCGGGCCTAGTGCTTTGGGCCCAAGCTCAAACCCGCTGGCCTAAATTCATGTCCAAGCCCAACTTAGAACAGGCATGGCCGGGCTGGCCACTGCCACATCAGACTACCCTGCCCAATGAATAGGTCTAATGGTAATTACATCTTGTGAAACATGAAAGTACACTTAGATAAAACCATGTGTTTGGTTGAAATCTAGATTTAAGAAAGCCTGAGCCCAACCTGATAAAAAGTCGGGCCTAGTGCTTTGGGCTCAAGCTCAAACCCATTGGCCTACATTCATGTTCAAGCCTAATTAAGAATGGACCTGGCCGGGCTGGCCGTTGGAACATCGGGCTACCCTGCCCATGAATAGGTCTAATGGTAATTGCTTCATGTTTAAAACCATAGATTTGGTTGAAATCTAGATTTAAAATGCAATAAATACTAGTGAGTGTATTGTAGTTGGACTCTAAATATAAATTAATTTTTGAATTTCATTATCATTTAAGTCAAGTTGGAGCTGATTTTCCCCAATTAACTCCACTAATCCATTTACTTACATCAAAAC